CCATCTGATTCTGAAAAGTCAGTGAGGGAAATAGGCCAATAACTCTGCCGAATTATAGAGTGAGAAAATTGCAAGATAATGCTGGGTAAGCAAAAAAAGGCCCAAAAAAAGGCAAAAAAACCAACCTCATTTCCATTTCGGCATACTGAAGATACAGGGTGATGGAGCGGTGATCCATGGACAAAGCGCGTTCAAACACCGAACGAGCCCTTTGAAGCTCGCCGATATTTTCTTCCCATTTCGCATACTTTACCCAATTTGCTATTTGTGAACGATTTTTTCGGATGTTGTCTTCAAATTCCTTCCTGAATTTAATACTATTATCCGTTGTCTCAAAATGCAGTTTATAAGAGGCAAAACAAGTTTTGTTCAAAGAAAAGGAGCGCTTATTGTCAATGCCATCAGTTATTTCTGGTCTTTAGGGAAACAAAACCCCTCCCCTCTCATCGTTTTCCTCTGAATAAACGATACTAACAAGTCCAGCATGTCAGGAGGCAAGTTATCTTATCTTCCTCTTCAAACTACTTTCAACAGACCTCAAAAAATCAGCCAGTTAAGGATATATCTGCTAAAGTATTCGCTCAGCCAAACTCCGAGTGCCTGATCTCTCAGAAGAGAAAAACGACGAGGGTTCACAACTAATCACAGCCAAAATTAAGGCGTCTTGAGACATTTCTGCAAATACATTTCTACAAACCTCCGTTTCCTCTGGTATTCCGCTAATTCTTCAGGATCCGAGATTTTCGTCTTCGGAGGTGGCGCGACGATTTCCAAATCACGCTCCTTAGCCTCTCGCAGCAGTTGCTCCGCTGTTATTTGTAAATCCGCTGGAGCCTGTAAAATGAAAAAACAAATGTAACATAATGATTATGGATAAGTGTGCCAGGAGTAAAAGTACCCTCGATTTACCCCGCCGCCTACTGAGGACTGGCCAGCCAATTTGCTCCGTCAGGCGAGAAAATCAGCATGTGCCAGGGAATCAAGCAAGCTCTGCTTCTCCCCGCAGTCGTCCCCTATTTTCATGAAACTCAACAAAAAAATTTTCACTGAGAAATGTGCCCCCAAAAATTTCAGCTTCCCAGCTTTCCTAGCTTTGCAAACTACGTTATCTAGCAAGACGCTTGGCAAAGGTGAAGCCGAGCCATCCGAACGGTTGCCAACAGAACGAATCTTCAAATTAAGCAGAAATGCATGAAAAACCATGCAAATTGCACCGCAAGTGCAAGTAGACATCGCAAGAGGCTCACCTTATTTTTGACTCGTGCTGCCTTCTTGGGCAATCGTAGCGGCTTGTTGCCGGGTGTCTCCTCGAAATCCTCCATGAGCGACGCCTTGATATACGTGCACTTGCCACACTCTGAAAAGGGAAAACTCCTAGAATTCAACTCGACACGGCCAATCTGTTGGTGGGAAAGTTGCGAAAATCACTGTCGTAAGCAAATCCGCCAAAGCACCGGGTTTCTTTTTTCTAGTGAAATTCTGAGGTGAAAAAACCCGACTTGGAAATGAAGCACAGCCGCGTACCTGTTTCTTTTTCACTATAAAATAAATAGCAACGCGCACCAGACTAACCGGTGCGATCATGCGTTTTGTGCAATTCAGCCCATCGAATGATTGCCTGTTAATGATTTTCACTGCACTGTACTTTTGTCTATGCAATAATAGTTCAAACGTTGGAAAATAATTAAAAATTTCACGCACCAGCGCATGAAAGCTGAATTCGAAACCTTGACGGGCGAATATCTTTCCATGATTCCCGAGTTAATAGTTTAACCCCTAAAAAATCTCACGAGGCGGTAGGCGATTCCCAACAGCGAGGAACGCTGAATTTGAATAGGCAAGGTTAAGCGTGGGCAAGGGGCATTACCCTAAAATTTCAGCCTCCTAGACTCCGTGGTTCCTGAGATATTAATTTACCCGTAAAAAACTTTCACGGGGCCGTACGTGTTACCTGCGGATAAAGGAAGGCTGAATTTAAATTTGCCGCGTCACCCGTCGGCGAGGAACACTATACCAAAATTTCAGCCACCTAGTTTTTGTGGTTTCTGAGTTGAAAGCGCGGGATAAAATGTGGGACACAGACACACGCACAGACAACCCCATGACAATATGCGTTTTGTAACGCTGTTACACAGCACAAAATGCATAATAAATAGCAACGTGCACCAGACCAGCCGGCGCGATCACGCGTTTTGTGCAATTCGTCCACCGGACGATTGCCAGTTAGTGATTTTCACTGCTTTGTACTTTAGTCTATAGAAAAATAGTTGAAGCGTTGAAAAATAGTTAAAAATTTCATGCACCGACACATGAAATCTCACGCACCAGCAACAGAGCAAAACTACAACTTTTTGACTTTTATATTTCCTGACATAATAATTTCCCCGCCAAGATTTTCACGGGGCCGTAGCTGATACCCGAGAGCGCGAGGACGCAGAACTTGAATTTGCAAGGTCGTACGTTGACGAGAAAAAAAAAGAAGTAGGACCAAAATTAAAAGTTTTACTTCTTCACTCTTGGTGGTTAGAAATTCCTTCTTTCCCGTCAGAAACGCCGGGTTCTTCACTGCCACGCGGGTTTCTTTTTTAAGAGAATCCAACCTTTATCTTTCTCTTCAAAAAAACAACAAGCTACAAAACGCCTCAATCAATCTTCTTCCAATTAAATAATAACCTACAATCTTCCAATCCAACAATAACCAACAAGATTTCAAGTCAACAATCACCAACACCCTTTCAGTCCACCAATAACCAAAACTCTTTCAATCCAACAACATCCAACAAAAAAACTCAATTCACGCTCTTCTTCAACCACAATCCAATCAAACCGCCCGCTCTAATTCTCCAATCCAACCAACAACAAAAAAAGCCACACCAACGCTCCTCGAAGACAATCCAGCAAACTCACTGTCCAACCTCTTCAGTCCAAAAAACAACAACAACAATAACACTCCCCCATCCGTAGCCTGCTTCTCTCCATCCATCCTCTATTTGGGCGAGAGGTGGACAAGGGAAGCTCAGAGGGTGACCTTTTGACTCCCACGAAAACAGTCGCGAAAACAACTTTCGCGACAATACGTGGGCAGGGGATCGCTGTCCTAAAATTTGACCCCCCTAACTTCGTGGTTCCCTATATACTGATTTTGCCCGCCAAAAGTTTCATTTAGCCGCATATGTTACCCGCAGGTACAGGAAGGATGAATTTGAGTTTTCTGTGATGCACGTGATCAAGGGACATACCCATAAAATTTCAGCTTCCTAGCTTCCGTGATTCCCGAGATAATAATTTACCCGCCAAAAGTTTCAAGGGGAAGTAGGTGAAACCCGAGAGTGTGGGAACACTGAATTTGTGCGAACGTACGTGGGCAGGGGCCATTGCCGTAAAAATTTCAGCTTCCTAGATCCCGCGGTTCCCGAGACAATAGCTTACCCGCCAAAAGTTCCACCGGGTCGCATATGTTACCCGTGGGTACATATGTTACCCACAGGAAGAGTGAATTTGAGTTTTCTGGGTCGTACGTGGTTAAGGAACATTCCCATAAAACTTCAGCTTCCTCGTTTCCATGGTTCCCGAGATACTGATTTTACCCGAAAAACTTTTACAGGCCCGTACGTGTTACCTTCGGGCACGGGAAGGCTGAATTTAAATTTGTCGCGTCATCTGTTGGCGGGGAACACTATACTAGAATTTCAGCCGCCTAGCTTTTATTGTTCCCGAGTTGAAAGTGCGGGACAAAATATGGCGGGAATCCGCTATCACAATTTTGGCGCCGGAGCTTGCTTGGGTGCCGAGTTGAAATACCCGGACAGAAACACACACACACACACACACACACACACACACACACACACACACACACACACACACACACACACACAGGCAGCCTCTTCCCAATATGCGTTTTTGCAATTCACACACACACACACACACACACACACACACACACACACACACACACACACACACACACACACAAATACACACAGACACCCCCATGACAGTATGCATTTTGTACTACTGTTCCACAGCACAAAACGCATAAAAAGCGGAACGCTGACATACTTGCGTACGAAGCAGTGCGTGCTTGAAGAAATCAAACCCAGGCTGCAGTGCATCAGGCTTGCCAGTGCAACCATGCGTTTTTGCAACAAAATTGGAGTAATCAAGTCATCAGTTGAATGAAAAGTCGCTTCTTTACATCCACATGTACATTCACTAACGTAAATCATCGTAAATTTTGCAAAGAGTGAAATGAATAATTTCCGTTTAACAATCGTTCTCTGAAAATGACCTAGCTATTCAGTGACCAGTCATACGTAAGGAACACGCATGCCTTGGCGCTGAGAATGAAAACTTCAAGTTGTACTTGGACAGGAAACATTCCCTAAAATTTCAGCTTTCCAGCTTCTCTGGCTCTCGAGTTAACAGTTCTTCTGTCAAAATTTCCACGTGCCCGTAAGTGACAATCACATACACTTAGGGGCTAAATTTGAAATCTTTGACTCACACACAGAGTTCTCGGGAACCAGACAAAATAGAGAGGAAAGTTTCAGCTATCTCGTCTGGTTTCCGAGATCGTATTCTCACTAAAAAATTTGCATTTTCTGAGCAGCTCGTGCGTGGGACCCAGGCGTATGCGGATGATATTAAAACGGGAGGTTCTCACATGATGTGGGCATATACTCCCGAAGTTTCAGCCTTCTAGCTTCTCGAGCTGAAAGTGGATGACAAGAAGTGCGGAAACCCAAACACGCACATATACCCTCTTGCCACTACGCGTCCCTGCATTTACATACACAGAAAAGCACAAAAACCAAAAGAACATAAGTACAGCAGTCCTCGCTCATCCCGAAATAATTCCGAAACAGAGGCAATTGTTAAAACTCGACTCCGCTCGGCCCGATTGGCGTTTACACGATTTGCGCAAAATTTTTTCTGGCGAAGGCAGATGGAGATATCCCACGGCGAATGGCGGGAATTCGGGCGTGGTAGACGGGAACGCGAAGAACAGATGTGTGGCGTGGTGCGGGTATCGTTTGAGGCAGGGAAGACAGGATGGGGGAGGTAGATTGAATGGCTACATGGCGTAAGATTCTTTGTCGGTTGGCTAGGTCAAGCACATTTGGAAGGGAAAGTGGGAGGTGCAAAGGTCCAGAAAAACAATGAGAAAGTGTGATCCCGGTTTTTGCCGTGGATACTTGGGGGGACCGAAAGGGTGAAATTCTGTTTGCTTGCACAGTGATCTGAGGGTAGAGAGGAGACCAGATGTTGCTTTGCGGACATGATATGGGGACAGGGTAGAGGAGCGGAACGACGACACAAGCCATGATCTCGAGGCAAGAACTGGAAACAGCAGTAAAGAGAACCCAGGCTGGAAAGCACCAGGCAGGCCGGTGCGATTATGTGTTTTTGCACTTTTCGTGCCATAGCAAAATCTCAAGGAATCCAGTAGCTAGCCCTATGACATACTGGCTCTCGAAGTTTGGGAAGTTAATTGTGCAGCTATGTGGTATGTCATTTGTAGATGTCGACTTCAGTGACCCGACAAATAGAAAGTTGTTGGTTCGCGAAAAAGGGCCTACTAGAAGAGTTAAAATTTGAAATCTTTTAGTCGCACATGGGCAGGGAACATTCCTTTAAAATTAAAGCCTTCCAGCTTTCCTCTTTTCCCAGTTGGTAATTCTTCCGCAAATTTTCATGCGCTCGTACGTGAGTTCCGGGCGGTTCTAGGCGGCTGAATTTGCAATCTTTTGATCGTACGTGAATGGGTAGCAGTCCCCTACAGTTTTAGCCTTCTAACTTCCCTCGTTCTCGGGTTATTGATTTTCCCGCCAAAATTTTCACGTGCTCGTACTCAGGCCCCGGACGCTTTTAAACATCCGATTTTGGTCGTACATGAGTAGGGAACACCCCCTTAAGTTCAGCTTTCTAGTTTTTCTCGTTCCCAGGTTAGTGATTTCCCCGCCAAAATTTCCAATTGCTCGTACGTGAGTCGCGGGCAGTCCTAGGCAGCTGAGTATGAAAGCTTTTGGTCATGCATGGGCAGGGAACATTCTTCTGAAATTTCAGCTTTCTAGCTTTATTCTTTCCCGAGTTAGCATTTTTCCCGCCAAGGTTTTTACGTGCCCGTGCGTGAACCCCGGGCGATTCTAAGGAACTAAGTTTGAAAACTTTTGTTCGTATGTGAATAGGGAACATTCTCCCAAAGTTCCAACTTTCTGGCTTTTCTCACTCCCGAGTTATGAATTTTCCCGTCGTAATTTTCACGCGCCCGTACATAAGCCCCGGGCAATCCTGGGCGGCTGAATTTAAAATCTTTATATCATACACGGGTAAGGAACATTCCCCTAAGGTTTCAGCTTTTTAGCTTTTTTCGTTCCCGAGTCAGCAACTTTCCCGCAAAACCTTCACGTACTCGTACGTGGGGCCCAGACGTGCGTGAGGGTTGATACCGCGGTCCTGGGGTAGCATCTGGCTGGGGAACACACTGGCAAAATTTCAGCTTCAAAGCTTGCGTGGTTGGCGAGTTGAAATACCCGGACAGACGAACATACACACACATACACAAAAACAGACACACACATGCACACACACACACACGCACACACACACACACACACACACACACTGACAGGGTCGTCGCAACATGCGTTTTTGCTACACGGCAAAAACGCATAAAAAACAGCTCTTCCTTTGAAAAAACAATGACTCGCGCTCCCAAACAACCTTCTCTCGTCGAAAAAACAAACAATCTCGCACTCGCCAAAACCCATCCAAATTCCTAAGGTTATTCCCATCCCCACCCCATCTGGGTCAGGTTGACACCGCTCCGTCTGGGTAGAAGTCTAGTGTAACGCAGAGGATCTGATCTCGAAGGGTCATCCCCTCACAAACAGTCGCGAAAATAACTTTCGCAACAGTAACTTCAACTCCTTTTTATCGATAACCTACGGTGAGGAATGCGAAAAAAGTTGAAAAGAATTGACGTGGGCCCGGGAATGGTTAGTAGCTTCGGCGGAAAAGCAAACACCAGTGTCGTGTTGAAAAAGTGAGCAGGTTATATTACTGTTTAATATTCCTGCGGAAGGCAGCTTTTCTTCTTGTGTTTTCGCGGCCGGTATATCTTGACGATTTTGATTTTTGAATTACATAAAATGTACTCGGAATAGATACACACACACAAACACACACACGCACACACACAAACAAACAATGTACATTTCGTACAACTGTTACAGCACAAAATGCAAAACAACCATTCAAATGGTTTATAATCAAATGCTGATTGCAAAATGTTAAAATGACAGGTCATGCACTAAAATCTGTGAATACAGATTACGTATAAAAGCTGTTTGCATTGACAACTTCCCGTAAAATCACTTTTATCGCATATGCGAAAGTTGCGTGCAAGAAAATAACAACAATGCTGCCCTGTGTTACAGAGTGTCATTATTGTTGATGTTACTAATTCGATGTAGGATTAGCGACGAGAATTGGATTCTGAATGAGATAGGCTCATCAGGGACTTGTGATTCTACCTCAGTAACATCGGAAATTCCAAACTGATAGTCTAAAGGATCCAAACAAAGGAAAAGCAACTTCCCATATGATGCTAAGTCCCCGGCAAAGCAAACAACAACTCACTCTGTTTTGTATATTTTAGTATCCGCATAAATCATTCGTGAGTAGGATGTCCCTTTGGTCATGGATTTTTGTGCTCGGTGCATTATTTGCTGCGGCTTTCTACATTCCCCATTACGACTTCTTCCTAAGCCATGGCTACTCGCCACGAGAGCTGTATACGACCACTTAAAGCAGTGTCTTCGTAACTCCTCTACTGGATGTCAAGTCAGTTAATGATTTTATGCAAGGAATTGGTGTGAAATTTGCTCACCATTTCAATTCATTAATTTCTGTGTTCTTGTGGATGATGGGGCAGTGGAGAGTATCAAGGTTATCAAGCAGTAGTAGATCGAAGATTTC